TGCTAAACCACTGCATGTGCATATGTCCCACATAAAGTACTAGGCACATGCAAAGAATGAACGGAATCGGTCCAGGGGATTCTGAGATATGACTCCGGACGGACGCACGGACACACGGACACACGGACGGACGGAGACCGAATTATAAGTTACTAATTACAGCAGCAATAATCGCCACAGCAAATAACTTTATCACAGGGCTCAAACTTAACACTAGCGCAAGGAACGATTGACCATCACTATTTCTGTTATCAGATACTCCACCATTATCATAATTCTATTTTATTTTATTTTATTTTTTTTGGAGAAAGCATGACACACTTTTACAATGCAACACTCACCCATTGCACCTGACTTATCTTCGTCATTATAGAAACTGACCAACCTATATAGGTCGGAATATCTATCCGATTTTTGAAGTTTAGCTATCTCCTCAGCATTGCTCTGTAAAGATCAAAGTGAGTCTTAGTATTCATCGCTGTTTCATATATGAGATATAGAATAAACTTAGCAGTACCACAAGCATTGATTTTAATTATAGATGTACCCATGATGCAGTGTTTTCATGGCAGTGTACATGTCTGATGACATCTCATCATACTCAATAAAAGAGTACCGGTAATTTGTTGTTTACAGACTCAATTATGCAAAGTTTTATCTAATTACAGTCAGAAATGAGATGTGATGGTGAGGTCTTATTTCAATTATGTCAGCTTTAAGACTAGTGGGCAGTGGTTTGTTAACTGAAAAACACTAGTGACCTGTGATTATTTTAGCCCAGAGACTCTGCTGTTAAACTTTGCATAGCTGCCCGTAATCACCGCCCAGTGAAACGAACACAGAAATCGGTGCGAGTCTAAATGGCGAATACGGGTGGTATGAAGCTAATTGGACAACTGACACAAACAACATTAAGTCAAAGCATCCCCACGTGATCCTGGTTTCAATTTCGAAAGAGACAGAAAAGGAAGTACGGAGGAGCCTGAACGTAAATATAATTTACATAATTGCACGCATTTTGCACATGTGACGTAGTGAGTGCGGTTAAAAATAATAGCCAACCACAGTCCCCTGTCAAAATTTTATGGATCGCCCTGTCTTATCTTGTTACTGAGCGACGGCGACTGCTGCCACGACCACATTCTGCTAATTTGAATAATTCAATTTGAATTTTCAGGCGAGTTTTACTGGACGTTGGTTAGAATAAACCCAATGACCAGACTCTGGGCTATGATAATTTTTGCTTCTATTGATTTTGCTGGAGCTGAATATTATTATTTTTTGGCAAGAACCGATTACATGTGGCTTCAGAAACATTTTTATCATGTTTTTCTTGAAACAGTTAACCGAAACACCAACAGTATCTTCTATGGAAATATAATTGGTGGTTTGGAAGCAATCTAGAGAATTTCAGGCTTACCATCATTGATGTAGACACTAAAACTCTGTCCATGCCTTTTGTAGCATGTAAAGCATAGGATGATAATTTACAATTGAGACATTGATGGATGATCCAGTCTGCTACTTGATATTCTTCAACTAAACAGCTTTGTTCCTGCAAAGAAGCAGACAACATTTGATTTACAGTGTTAAATCAATTTGATCAGCAACTGTGCAGTGAGAAAAAAACATTAAACACATGCTGGTTTGTGAGGCAGAAATATATAGGACAGTTACATACTGCATTATGGATATGTGGAACCTTGTTGTTTTGGATGCTAACATTGTACTGACAGTTTAATCACTGACAAGTAGTAAGATTAATAATACTGAAAAAGAAAAACACAAAATCTCTCAACAAATGACCCTTTAAGAGAATTCACTAAAACAATCGTCTCCGCCGTAAAAAAATCAGTGAATCATATGGTAAGTTTGATGTGTATAGAAGACTCATTTTACTAGCAGGATATCTATGTACATCATCATTGATCTGCATGGACTTGTCAACACCATGAATTAAAACTTGAAAAAAAAAAAAAAAAATTTTGACAATGAATTTACAACTACAAAGATGTTTGAAATTCAGTCTCAGTTGTGATGTACTTCATGTACTGCAAGAATAACACAATAAATATAATTGCAAGTGTTTTCCACCAATCAACACATCAATTTGACATAATTTATCATTGCTAAATCTAGGAGTAATGACATGGAAAGGTTAATTACAAAGGCCATCGAGTCAAACTAGTGGTGACATGTTTGTTTATCACTGGCTAACTGGCAAGGCTATATGCGTATTGCAAAACACAGTGAATGAAATTAGTCAATGCTATTATAGCAAGCATTGAATTGAATATGAAGGCAATATGTAGTAATCAATCAATCTATGTCTATCTAGCCTTGTAAAAAAACAAAAACAAACATGTTATGATTTAGAAAGGAGGGGGTTGAGTGGGAGAAGGTGTTAATTCTGCAGTGATGAGCACAATATATTTCTATTGGTTTTCAAAATGAAATGATTTCACTAAAGGTATATCTCAATTTAATAGAGAATTTTAAAACTGCTGTCAAGAATTACTTAGAAATATATAATTGCTCTTTTGATTTGCATATTCATATGCAAATTTAAGCATCATGATAATTAAATGTCCATACATAGTAACTGATAATTAGAAGCTGAAAACAGTATTTTTGTTGGTTACACATGATATGGCTGGCTGAAAAAATGCATTTTACTGGTATTTGCATAAATAAATAATTCTTGAACATGGAACAATTACTTTTATTGAAACAACGCCAGGTTATATACACATTCAAATATAACAGTATATTTAAATTTATTGGAATTATATAATAGTTAATGCAATTTTTTTAAAACATGTTTTTCAATGTCCAACTCATGAAGACTGGTCAAGACATGTTGCTACATTCACTCTAGTTTTTACTGCTTAAATTTACTTGTTTTCAACAAGTTTTACATTGTATCAGTGTAAGGTTACATACAGGTAATTACTATGAAGTTTTAAATAGAACACACAGTATTAGATAATGCATACTGCAATGTGATGTTTGAATGCTCTAGGGCTCCAACTCCAAAGCTGCATAGATCACACACTGTCATCACTGTTAAATCTTTTTATTATAGTAGTTAATGAAGCAAACATCCTGTTTTTGGACCAACATCTTCCAAAGCTCACACGCTACAAAAGTTGACTAGTATGTCCTGTGTATTGTTCTGTTGTATTTTCAAATACACAATAAGCAAGACCACTCTTCAATTTAAATTTAAAGGTAAACTTCAATAGACAGGAACATGCTTCTTCAATATAGAGCATATGATTATTAAAATCAATATTCAAACAGACATTGGGGAATATTCTTAATGTGGCCAATTATATAGATGAAACAAAATTAGACATGGGCCTTTTAACTGGTAATCATGGCCAACAACAAAATAAAATAAAGTTTTAAAACATAATATAAACCAACCTAGTTTTAAGAGATCACTTCACAACGGCCATAAACAAAACAGGTTTCTTTGTTTGATATATAATTTAAGGCTAAAGTGTCAACAAATCACAATGAATAGGTTGGTTTTACTATTCGAGAATATAAATGTACAACCAACTATCAAGACTGAGTCAGTGTGTATTGCTAGTCTGTCATCAAAGTGTTTACTATTATTTTTCTTACTTTACAATGTATCAGCTAGCTGCCATCATTGACCTGCTATTTTTTGACAATGTGTTGACTACTTGTATACAAACAGTAAATCGCTTAAATTTCATGCGAGACAAATTTAAACAAAATTGGTGAAACAGTGAACATTGTGAAATTTTGTAGCAGTGAAAACGGCTCTGAGACTGGGGACCTACTACACAGAGTGTCAGTTAATATTGCGAAATTTGGTTCAGTGCTTCTGACCTGGAACTGATCATCATAAGAATTTCAGAAACCCCACGAGACTTCACATTTTACAAGTATTCATTTATAGTAAATATCAAAATATACATACCTTTGTGATTCCACCAAGATCTAGTACTACTAGTGCAACATCTTTACTGAAGAATTCATCTTTAAGGTGTTCTCCAGAGAGTCCTAAAGATGATCTATCCAATGGCTTAAGTTCACTTTCTTTAACATGGACACTGACATTCAAACAATTGCAAGTTAGTCTAACCATGATGACTGGCAATGTATGAACCTGGAAGAAAAAATCACAAGTATTTTCACTTGTATCATTGGGAGACAATAAACCGAGAACCATTCTTAGCAAAAAAGATTCAGAAAGCGATAGGCCTCAAAGGACTCAGCATTTCTGTTCCTGCGTTTGGGGAAAACAACCGAAACTTGAAAAGAAATAGTGCTTTAAACTTTATTAATTGAATACCTTGACTAATTTTGCACGGTGTGTAACCATGGAAAATTTTGCATAAAAATAGTGTTAATGACAAATAAGGTTTCAGTAAAAGTTCTCATAATGAGTTGTTGCTGACAGGGCAGAAATTCAAAACTTATCTAGCTACTTAAAATGATTTGACAGAATTAGAAAAGTCCTTTAGAAATGTTACTGAAAACATGTTTTTAAAAACCATACAAGACATCAACTAGAATAAAGCAAGAATCAATATAGTGATAAATACTAGTGCACAGTTCTTTACCTGGTGCCAAGTCTCTTGTAGAGAAGCCTGGATGTCTATGTGATACCAACTTTTGATGGAATGAGATTCTCATCAAGCTGAAAGTGCTTTTAAAGCACCATCATTAGACATTTAAATAGAATGGCCAATCAGAATCCGTACAGGTTCATTGTATGCATATTGGTATGCAGTATAGTCTGTTCATGTAAAGTCAATCACCTCAATACGGCTAACAATACCCCCCCCCCACCTCTTTCAAAGGGACAAACAGAGTTCAGTTCTTGACCTCCTGTTCAAATAAGAATAGTTTTCACAAGAAATAATTTTAATTGTTTTCAATTCAGAACAGTATGTGTAAACCTCTCTGCACTGAAAAATGACCCAATGCATTGAAGACCTCACTATTTCTTTCTTACTACACCACAAACTTTTAGCTATGGTCATAGCTAGAGATGAAACATTTGAAATTGGGGAGAGGAATGTTTGAAAACAAAGTGGCATACTGAATCTGTGTCAAATGAACTTGCATGATATAGTCACATGTGAAACAAAATATCACATCCATGTTTTAGTACACAATGTATAAACCTCTCAATAATTGCACTTGTATTCAACTTTAGAATGCAAAATAAATTCCATTCCTATTTTCAGATAAGTTGTTGATGTGGCTAGAGCAACAAAGGTAATTTAGTTGTAATAATAGATGGTGAATACTGGTACTTGATGATAAATCAGCAAAAATAAAACAGTTACATTTGCTGTAACACAAGTAATATTCAAGTGAAATAACTAATCATGGGCTGCCAATCATGTTAATTTGCTTGAAGTACACTAGAGAACCAGACTAGTATTTAAGTAAAATTTGTCATTCATTTGTTTGAAGTTTTAGACAGAAATTGCATGATATTTTGTTATATGATATTTCACTAGTGCAAAACAAACAATATCAAAGAAAGCTTAGAAAGAACTCCCATGTGCTGAGAGTATTGGAGACACATTAAATATAATTTGAAATTACTTAGCTGAAAACTAATTATGCAAATTAGAAAATTAACATGAACGGATTTGATTGTAAAACTAATGAGGTCTGCGCAATGTAACAAAAACTCTAT